GCAAACCCAGGTGTAGCTGCGGCTCCCGAAGCTCACTAGACCCGGGAGGAGTTTTCTGCCGAGTGGGTGAGCGCGCAGGGCGGCCACCTGCCCACGGCAGCCGCTGGGCTGCAGGCTCGCGGGGACGAACTTGTCCAATTAAAAATCCGCAGACACATTTTGATTTCGGTCCAGATAGGTTCGGTTATTTTAAGATCTCCCGCAGAATCAAAGGGGCCTTCTTATTTCCTTTTCTCTTGCTTGGCCAGCATTCTGCTTTCCATTTCTACCTCCTGCTGTAACGCTACTAGGAGGTCCAGTGTGGAATTCTTAAGATCTTCCCAGGGGTGTAATTTTGGTTTAGGAAAACGCAGAAGTACCCTAACCTCCACAGGAAAAAACAAAACAAAACAAAAAACCAAAAAAAACAAATTCGGCGTATATGGAAATTGTGTAGTAGTCAGAGTTACTTCTTTAAAAATGTGCTTTCCTAATGATTTTGATAGGCTGTAGATAAATGGATAATTATATTCATCTTTGAATTGTATTTTACCTGGTGGTTTGTTTATTGTCTCGAAGGAGAGAGGACATGCAGTTTCATTCAGAAGTACATTTTTTCTAAAATAAAACCTTTACTTTCATTTATTAAAATATGACATTTCAATACACGCTAAGACAAAATGATTTCTGGTATGTTAGTAGAGAAAAATCGGAAAGTGACAGAAAGGATGGCTGAGAGACAGGTTCTGGTTAACAATATAAATCTCTTGAAGTAATATACTTTTCACCTCTGGGTGCCACTGTTCAACTGCTTCTTGTTTTTATGGCCTGGTGAAAGGGGAATGCTTCTTGTAGATGTATTCTTAAAAGATCTGTTAAAGAGACATTTCCTCTATCTGCAGTTATCTGCTAAATAACTTTTTGGCACATGGATGTAAATTCAACATGGTTGTGATTTGCCATTTTAGCTACCAAATGATGACCAGATAATATTAAAGATTGTTTACATGGGCAAATGGCTGGGCTAAAAGCCGAATTCATCTTCCATGGAAATGAATCTTGTATTTACCTTTCTGGTAGGCATGTAACCAGAAAGAAAAACAACAGCAGCAACTTTAAAACACAAAAGAGTTTTAGTTTAAATTTGTTGGCCATTTGTAGATATTTTAATTCTGCAAAAATATTTCAGTAGAAGTCAATTTTATAAGCGAAGTAATGCCTAGCATTGGGAAGAATTAATCAATTAAAATATAATTTTAGGAACCTAACATTGTTAAGCGCGATATTATTTTTCGCTGAACTTTAGAGCTTAACTCCTTCAATATTAAAAAAAACCTGCAGAAGTATGTCTGTACATTTTCAGAATTCTTAATTTCCAGATGTGATTATTTTAATGAATAACAGCAATATTTATAATTTTGAAAAAAGTATAAGTAATCTTTTTTTTTTAACAAGATAGGTAGTGAGTTAGTATTCTGTACCAAGAAACAAATGCACGTTTGGTTTTTTAAATCTCTAATTATTTATTTTAAACTTGGAGTTCATCAGAAATGTCAGAGGAAGGGGTTATAATGCTAAAGTTAATTTTGTTTTGTCATATACAAAGTAGTTAATCTAAAAATTATTGATTGATATTCTCCCTCTTTTAACTCTTTTAGGACTCAATATTTAAAGCAAAACTAATTTATCTAGGTGTTCCGCTGCAGAAAATTAATTCTGCTGGGACTGGTGAGGCCAAGCCTCATTATGAACAGTTCCTCTTGCTGAACTAACCTAAGCCTGATGCTTACCGGGATACTTTTTAAAAATATTCACAACAAAGAATTTAACTCTTGAGGTGCTAGAGAATTGACTTTTACTGTTGTACTGATTAGGCCTTCTCGTGGGACCATGGAAGCCTTCAGATGAGAGCATCTCACCTTTGTGAGTGCTGCTTGGGTCTTTGAAGTTAGCCAACTGTATCTGTACACTGGAAGGATTTTAGCTTTGTGGTCCATATGTCAACGCTGATGTAGTAATTAAAAAAAGTTTCCCCTTCCCTAAACTTGGTCACCATAAGTATATTACTGATCTGATATTTCATGTTTCTGTAAGTGGCAATTTCCTTGGGAGGCCAAAGAGTAATTTGGATTACACAGTAGTCTCAACTCACGTTCTCTGCTTAAGTGTCTGACTGCATCATTTGGCTGCTTAGAGCATAAGAGTGTGACTGTTAAACAACAGTTTTTTTTTTTTCAGCTATAAAAGTAGTGGAGCATCATCATTTATACTTCTCTCTCTTTTTTTTTGAGACAGGGTCTCACTGTGTAGTTGAGACTGACCTGGAACACACTATGTTGCCCAGGCTGGTCTCGAACTCACAAGCGATCCTCCTGCCTCAGCCTCCCAAGCGCTGGGATTACAGGCATGAGCCACCACGTCCGGCTCTCTCTGTCTTTTTTTTTTATTTGCATGGTTTTGTTTCAATGCATGTGGGAAATATTCTTGGGGAATGAGTTTTTAAAGTGTTTTTGGTGCTGAGGAAGGGGCCCAGAGCCTCACATGTGCTAAGAATCCACTTCATACAGCGAGCCACGGCCTTGGCCCCCACATGGCAACTCTCACATTGACTTGTTGCCTGCGACATAGCACTTCCTAAAGATTATGCTGTGGCTCACTGGAAAAATCTCTTCCATTTTAAGGTTCTTTGCTCCTGTTGGGCATCTCACCGTGTTTTTTTCATTGATGTGGTCTTCCTCAAAGTGCTACATCTTCCTCTCGAATGTTACTAATTTGGTGTAATATGTTCTCTTGTTGTGACTGGTAAGAAATATTTATTTGGTGTTAACGAGGAGGGCCAATCCATGAATGGGGCTTTTATAGAGAAAAAGATGTTGGTCAGCCTGGCAGTGGGTAGTGTCTTATTTTATTTATTTTTTTTTGGTGTTATGGATAGAACCCAGGGCCTTGCACATGTCAAATGCATGCTCTACCGCTAAGCTACATCCCAGTCCCCTGATTAGGTGTCTTTATAGTGGAAAGCAATAATTTAGTCTTTAGTAGGTTGCTGGATGTACATGCTAGCAAATGAATACTTTTCCTACACACCCCTCATGCTGGGAACTGACAAATTTCCATTAAATTAGCCGACTGACTTGTTGCCTTGTCTCGCACAAATGTGCCTCCGGAAGGTGTTCCAGTTACGCTGTGAGACCTAATTCATCAATTTAAACTCATTTTATCTGAAAGGCAGTAACAATTGTTGCATTTTCCTAATGTAAAAATAGCTTAAATCAGTTATTCCTGGCTATATCATTAAATCACACTAACTTACAGGATTAATAAGTACACATTTAGGCAGTTCAGTGGTACTTGATAAGAAAATCCCAGTGGTTACACAAAATTAAAATTTATTCATAGTTTCTCAAACAATTTTATCACTTCATGTTTGTAGTACATGATGATTGTATTCATTGTTGGGACTTGGTACACATACAATTAAAATTTAAAACTTACCTTCATAGGTGCTCTTGCTTTAAATAAAGTAGAACTAGCTTTAAAAAACTTTGTAAAAACATAGACTGGCCAGTCAGTTTAATTTCTCTGTAAAATAATAGTTTGAAAAGAAACCATTGCTCTGAGAAACTAAACTCTTAATCTATAAAGTGGTCACACTTCTGTTTTAAATTCATTCCAAAAAGTATTTAAGCCTCACAGGTTTCCCACCTCCTGTATTCTTGTCAGCCTAGACACACGAAGAAAGAATAAGGCTTTATACCCTGTGGACACGTAACACATATTAATTCTAATATAGAATTTAAATATAATCACACAGATGCAGATCTGTATGAGTTTGGATCTTTTCATGATAGACAGTAGTGTATAGGAAACTTCAGATTCTCCACAAGAAAATGTGTTTAGAGCTTAAGGAGAACATTTAGCAATTTCTTTATATCTGTATCTTTCTTCTGCAAGTATCAGAACAGTGCATGCGTGGACAGTGAAGGGACAACTAACTCCTAAAAAAAAAAAAGGAATACCTCCTCCCTACTTTCTGATTTATATTTTATTTTAGCTGGAAAATCCCCACTGGGTGATATTTTTTTTTTTTTTTTTAAACTTCAGTGTATCCTGGGAACAGGCCGTTCCACGATTTTGGAGTGGGAACTTCAAACGAAGTTGGTAAGGGAGGCAAATGCGTAAGTGGAAACTTTGAGGAAACTGGCAGCCAGCGCCTGGAAACCAGACAGCCCTTCGCGCTCTGCTCCACCACCTTCTGCCCGCCAGTACAAAGCGGGGCTGGTGCGCCTGTGAGTCAGAGCCCTGCTCTCAGGAACTGGGCCCGGAGAGATTCCCAGCATCTGTTTCCTCAACTATCACCCGGAGGATACTGGTGCTAAATCACAGCGAATAAAAATAGCCTCAGAGACGGGACTTTCAAACAAATAAGACGTGGATATTCGACAGTGGTTTGGAGTCTCCCCAAATTCATTAGCTACCTAATGAATATATTATTTTATGTTAATGAGTCCTATCGCTGGCTCTCTTCACCTAAATGTTGAACAGAATCTTGACATTTTTATTGATCTGAATCGAGCTACTTCTTAAAATGCATTGTGTTTGATATTAAAGCCTGATCCATTTATTGTATAAAGGTTAGCCTATAATCAATCATCAAAAACGGTTAAGCTTTATTCCAGACACAATAGAATATGTACTTTCTGTGATATATAGTAAAATCAAAACCTCTGCAAACTTCTTATCTTAATGTCAATTGCCAATAGAGTGATAAGATCA